ATGTTAAAATACTGTAGAAAATCACAGACAATGGCCGATAGTTCTAAGCCTTCAAGATGCTAGCAACTTCCCAACAAAAGCATCTCAAAATTCGTCCATCTTCTTTCACATAACATAATCGCCCCACCCATAACTACCTTCTCACTGCCTTATTGCGTACATCGTCTGCTTAGTCCTTCTAGAATATTCCTTAACCACTGGTGCCCATCAGCATATAGAGCAAGCTGGATCATGTTACTTTCTTCTACAAACAAGTTGGTAGGAATATATTAAACTCCTATAGGAAAGAGAAGAAAAGAAATAAAGTATATTAAGCTTTTGAGAATTATAAGTTGGCACTTTGTCCCATTTTTCATTCGCTTTGAGATTAATTAGATTGTCTTTGCCTTGTGCTTGAAGTGAAAGTGAAAGGGAATGGAGCCAATCAAATTGAGTGTATTAATTTATGCATAATGTCTATATCAAGTTCATTGTCAACATTTCCTTCCCCCAACTTGCTTTCGTGTTAATGCTTAGAAAGCGCATCCCTGGTATCTGTTGATATGTTTTCATTATTTTCTCGTCCTTTGGTTGCATGTGTTAACAGAAACCTCTTATCATTTTGGGATCATATCTTACCATGCTGTCCGTATTTTTTGTCATCTGCAATTTTATCCCAGCATTTCAAATTTACAGAAGTTTTATTTAATTGTTTTTTTTTTAAATAAATGGACCAGCATGTAAATACCATATACTTGACAGTTTGTATTTACATTTTTCTCCTCCCCCCCTTTGTTCTCATAGGAGGAACTTCAAAAAATTTTGAATCACGAAAGGGGGAAGGACCAACCAGGAATTGACATTCTTGAAATCTATCGTTTGAGGAGACAGTTACTTTTCCAATCTTTTGTGTGGGACCGCCGCCTTGACCATACAGCTAAGTTAGTTAATACCAGCAAGCAAAGTGGTATGAGAAGCTCAGTCTCAGATGACAAGGAGAGGCACATTACTGAAAACCAGACTATTGATGCCCTTGTGCCAGAAAGAGGCTACAATGATTATGACTCTATACTTGTGGGCTCAAAGCCTAATGATAACCCTGACCTGCGTAGAGGAGTTGATAACGACATTTCCCAATCTGATGCATTTCATGAAGAATTGGACGCAGCCAAAAGTTCTAATTATGAGAAAGAGGGCCAACCTTATCGTTCAATCAGCGATTCCATAAATGCTCAATCAGACCATTCAGACCTTGGCTTAGGTGTTCTCAGAACCCACTCCGATGGGCAGCTTCTTAACATGCCTAGCCTATCTGATACCCTTGATGCAAAATGGACAGGAGAAAACCACTTAGGATCTGTGTTGCCAAAGGACATTACTTCTGTTACTGCTGATACAACTGCAGCAGATTCTTTGATTACCAGTAGAAAGAGAGAAGCGTCCAGTCTAGAGGATCATGCGGAAGACCAGAATGAGTCCAAAAATTTATATTCTGCTTCTAAGAGCCTTGATGACGTGGAAGATTCTTTAAGCTGGTTAGCAATTCCCTTCTTAAACTTGTACCCTTCGTTTGACAAGAACTTTTTAGGCAGTACACAGAAGTTTGATACTCTAGATGACCATCCTGTTTATGTATCGTCATCCTTCTGGAAGCTGGAACTCCAACGAGGGGCAAGACTGCTTCTGCCAATTGGTGTTAATGACACTGTAATTCCAGTATATGATGATGAACCCACAAGTATAATTTCCTATGCCTTAATGTCTCGGGACTATCATGTCCAATTGATTGATGATGAAAAAAGACCAAAAGATGGGGGTGACTCCAAGGCGTCATCATATTTTTCTGACTTAAGCAACTTCCAAGCATTTCATTGTGCTGATGATTCAACTTTTCAATTTCTGAAAGGTTTGGCGTTAACAGATGACATGAAAACATCCATGTCTGGGTCTCGTAATGCATCAACATTTGATCCTCTGTTATGTACAAAGTCTATGCATATCAAAGTTTCCTTTGGAGAAGATGGTCCCCTTGGTAAAGTGAAACATACGGTGACTTGTTACTATGCAAAGTGGTTTGAAGCCTTAAGAAGGGTTTGTTGTTCTTCGGAGCTAGAGTATATAAGGTCTCTTAGTCGGTGTAAGAAATGGGGAGCTCAAGGAGGAAAGAGCAATGTATTCTTTGCAAAAACTTTGGATGATCGATTTATCATCAAACAAGTCACAAAAACGGAGCTCGAGTCATTTATTAAATTTGCTCCTGAATACTTTAAGTACCTTTCTGAATCAATACACTCTGGAAGCCCAACATGCCTGGCAAAGATTCTGGGGATATACCAGGTACTTGTTCTTAGAGCCTCAAGTTTTGAACCTCCTAAGTAAGTGTTTTTATAGGTTTTGTTGAATACTTTCAAGTCTAAGGTTTGAGATGAGACTTTATTGGGCATCAAGAAGGACAGGTTGGATATAGCCTTGTTAAATGGATTAATGGCCTTCAATCTTTTTCTAAGGTTTTTGTAGTAAACAATTCAATTACATCTCATGGAACAGCACACCAATACTGGATATATTTTTCATTCCTGTTTTTACATGCTGTGGATTGGATGAATATTAATGAAGCATTCATATAGTCGTATGCAACAAAGTTTTGATTTACTTGATCAAGGTTTGAAGGTTGCTTTGCTTATGTAAAGTCTTAAGACATAGTAGTAGAGGTTTTTTTCGTCTCCTTATGGTTTAATGACAAAGCGATTTTATTTTAAACTTGCTTGCAAAAAGTGCAGTTCCCTTGATAATGACCATATGATATTCTTGCTGGTTACTTGACTTCTGACAGATCTTAACTAACATAGATCTAATCACTATTCTTTTATTAGCTATTATTTCTTCTTACACAGTTACGTGTGTCACTGAGTTTTGCATTTCATCTTCTGCAGCGACCAGTTTTAGTATTAAGCAGTACTTATCTTTGAAGTCAGAACAACCATACAACTCAAGTTATACAACCATGTTTTTTATCTCTCGGGCAGTAGTTTGAAATAAGATTCTAACTTGGTTTCATTATTTCACACAGAATTCTAATATAATGTTTATATTGATGAAGTTGTAGTAGCATTAAAAATTGCTATCCTTCCACATTGAAATTTCTTAGCCTTTTTTTCCAAATACAAACAAGGGATTATCGTGGGGAAATGAGAAGGACAATGCTATAAATCATGTCTTGAAGTTTATTGATCATTGGATTGGTGCTAGATAATCCTGAATTTTGCTCCGCTTAACTACATATGATCTTCATAACTTCATCTGCTATTGGGTTTATCTTGAAAAGGTCAAGTCAAAGCATCCTAAAGGAGGGAAAGAATCAAGGATGGACGTTCTGGTTATGGAGAATCTTCTATTTAGGAGGAACGTGACACGGCTTTATGATCTCAAAGGATCTGCCAGGTCTCGGTATAATCCGGATTCTAGTGGGAGTAACAATGTTCTGCTGGACCAGAACTTGATCGAAGCAATGCCAACTTCCCCCATTTTTGTGAGCAACAAGGGTAAACGGCTGTTGGAGAGAGCTGTCTGGAATGACACTGCTTTCCTTGCTGTAAGTTTCAGGACTTTATATCTTTTCGTTATGGTCTGTTTTCCCTTGTGTATTGCAAATAATTTAATCCACATTTTTCATGTATATGTGCTGCTATTCTGCAGTCAATTGACGTAATGGATTACTCGTTACTTCTTGGGGTGGATGATGAGAAACATGAGTTAATTCTTGGAATCATTGACTTCATGAGACAGTATACCTGGGACAAGCATCTTGAAACGTGGGCGAAAGCTTCTGGCATACTGGGAGGGTCCAGAAACTCATCTCCAACTGTGATATCACCCGACCAATATAAGAAAAGGTTCAGGAAAGCAATGGCCACTTATTTTCTCATGCTTCCTGATCAGTGGCCTCCCGCACGTAATAAATCCCAGTCTGATGTATATGAAGAGAACACACAACCCAAGAATTCACCTAGATGATTCTTTGATGCCTGGTTCCTTTAAGTTTTTTCTTCCCATGTGGTAAATCAGCTCCCCCATATCATTTTCTCTTTTCCTTTCTTTGTCCCTTAATTTTCATAGGAATTTTTTTCCTTTCATTTGTAATTTTGTAAGTGAAACATTTGTGAATTACTTGTTGGAAGATAAACAAAGAAAAGGCTGTTAGAAAATACAGGATGCGTATCTGGGGTTGAAATATTTGATGACCTCTGGATGAAACTCTGTACAAAAAATTTTTATTCATGTATTTAGCATCATAATTTATACACCATTTCGATTTGTTTGGACCATCAGTTTACACTGTTTCAGATCTCAATGTAATTACCAGGATCTGCCTAGCCTTTAGTAGGCAATTACCCTTGTATCAGACACTTTGGCAATTTATTTTCCTCTTCTTTTCCTCAAATATTTGTTCAATTATGTCAGCGACAAAATGGTAATATCACTCTTAATTATTACAATACCATTTCTTCATTATTACTGATAAAAGCCACATGACAGAGCCCTGAACAGGGGACCAATTTCAATTATTCTTTCTCCTTTTAGTTAGAAGTTCCTTGGCTTTGAGGTTTACTTCTAAGTAAGATTTGAACTGGTTGGATACATTGGTGCCATTAATTATGTTTTCCGGTTTCCGGAATTTGATTTCCCTACAAAACTAAGAAGTTAGTAGAGTCCTATCTCTTTTGGGATTATTTTGTCCTTGACGGAAAAAAAAAAAGGAGGAGGAGGAGGAGGAAAAGAACCAAGACCACTCTCTAGATCACAAACTTTAGCTTGTTTATTTGAAGAAGCTTTTGTCTTCCATGTATTTGCCTTGTCCTTCGCAGCTTGTTCTGTTCTTTAGCATTGTTTTTTCAATTAGTGCTATTTGGATATTAAAAATGGAAAGTCAGACAAATTTATTGCCTTGTGATTAGGAAGTCATCATCGTCATCTTTATCTTTTTCTCTATCGGATAATCTAGAATACTAGCATAAAGCTGATTGGAAGAGAAAAGCATTGCCATATGAGCCTGTACAACTTTACAAGGGAAAAAAACCACTTCACAAGTTCTTGATTCACCATTAACAGTCTCTTATGCCTTTCTGATACATGATGCTGCTGACCAGTGGTGGAGCAAGAACTTAAAAAGCATATATATATATATAGCACAAAGTTTGTATAATTTTGTTTTTTGGAGGGGAGGGGAAATGTATATTACTTATATAATACTGACAAAAAAGAAAAATTGAAAACTTGTGGAGCCATGGGCCCCACCCACCTCCCTCCCTCGGTCACTGCTGCTCTGAGACCTTAGGCTTTGATATTTGACAAAGTAAGTTGGAAATGTTTAGCAGAATGAGTTGAAACCATTGCAGTTTAGGTCTTCTTGCAGCAAAACACCTTCATCTTCTGGATGATTCACTTCTTCCCCTTTCACTATCTTTATCCAGTTTTGTTGAAGAATTTCTCTGATCTCAACATCTCTGAATCCCCAGAAAGGAAAAAAAAAAAAAATCTCCTTAGATAGACAAGTTATATATATGATAATTTAAGTAATGAATCATCTAGCTAGAATCAGAGGTAAAATCTGATGGAAAATAACTAAACTTGTTAAGAGGCCGTTGAATTTCTTCATTGAATCACTTTACCTTAGATGGTAAGGTGGCTTTGAAGTTCGTTGAAGACGAGGTCCTTCATCGTACCCTTCACAGATTATTTCCCCATTTTCATCTCGGTAGCAAACTATGCCCTCAGATAGATCCTCATATACCTGTTGGACATAGTCCACTTCAATGAGTAAAAAAATTCATAGACCCATGTTTCTGATCTCTTTCATGGATCCAAATTCTTCAGCTTGGATAAGAGTGAGAGAGATGAAAGCAAGATATTGACCTTGTTTTTGATGGAAGCTCTGATCCTCCGTGCAAATGATGTTCTTTTCAGTGGGACAGAGCTGCGCTTGGACTTCAAATCCTTGCTTGCAATCTTTAGGAATGACCCAGATTTCTGAACTGGAATTTGAGTTGAACAAGCACAGAAAATAGCCATCATCAGTATCTGATTCTACAAGAGAAAGAAGAAGAAACAACAGGAGGAATAAGTCTATTCTTATGGAGCTCTATCGATACAGGAAACTAGTTCTGAGGAATATTGATATCACTTCAAGCTGACAGTATTTTTATTTCTGGGGTTTGCTTAGATCATACTATAATAAATTCAATTATTGATGTCTAATCATGTATATTAGATTAGTCATGTGGGGCCTAAGTTACTTATCTGCTACCTTCTTTGTTGTTGGCGTTGAACCTAGTTTTTGGACGCATAATTATATACTAGATTATATTTATAAGTTGCTGATATTGATAATATATTATGAATTATAAGGTTTTTTTTAACAATCTTTTATTATCTTTATTGTTTGAATATTAGGATAAATTTAAAATTACTTCCTCTAACCTATAATATAAGTCATTATTAACTAATTTACATTTATAAAAAAAGTTTGTTAAAATCTTAATTTTCTAAAAATTTTCACATATTTTGAATTGTAACCTTAAATAAAATAAGTATAATATTTGACTTATTCAAAATACCATCATTAATTAAGTTGGATATAATAAAATAAAAATATGATTAAAAATATATAAAACCTACCCAATGATCTATATATTAGGTCCAAGGAGAGTATATTAAACTATTTTTATTCATATCTGACTTAATTTCGAAATCATTTAGTGCAATTTTTTTGTGAACAATTATTAGAGCAATTTATCAGTGATATGAACACTAATATTAAAAATACTTTATCAAAATGTATTTTTAATTAAATTTTTTAATATGATTTAAAATCAATTGATTGTAATAAATATATATATTCAAATTTAAATATAAAAGCATTTTTTTAATTTGATGTGAATAATAAAATTCCATAAAGTAGCTCTTCCTCCATTTGACTATTGTATAGTTCCAAATAAATCACTGCATAATGAGCATGATAAATGCATAAAATATAATTAAAGCCTAAATATGTAAGTTGAATTTGTTTGAATGATCAAACGACATTAAGGAGCTAGAATGTGAGATTGTGTTTTATAAGGAGTTTATAATTTTACGATTTATAAATAATTTATTGTTATTTGTTTGAATGCTTTTTATAATTTTATATTATATTTTATATATAGGTGTATATATATATTTTTACAATTTTTCTTACCGAATGTAAATAACAATAAATTTTATCCAATAATTAAAATATTTGTTTTAATTTAAAAAATTATCCCCCCAAAAGGTGAACGTGCAGGTTTATGGGAGATTTTAATATTAATTATGAAATTATATATAGGAAATTAAATTGGAAAATGTCGCATGCTTGACCTATAATAATACTCCGAAGTCATTGCAGAGGAGGAAGAAGAGTAGTTGACTTGGAATTAAGTAAAACGAAATTTGCAAACCCAACGCAATAATTGCACATTAAAATAGTTCTGATGATAAGTAAGAGTGGACACACACACACAATATTAAGAGCAAGATTCTTTTTTCTATCCGAAGGAAAAACACACAAAGAATCTCAATTATCTCCGGCGCATCTTCCCAATTCACAGTTTTAAATATAAGTGGATGAGCATAAAAACAATTTTCACAGTTATATATACCGTAACACCGATGTTGAATCTAATCAATCAGTTGATCTAGTTGGTTCAAAGCATACAGAAGTCAAGTAATCGTTGGTTTTGTAAAAATACTTTATATTTTTTGATATTTAATCTCTTAAAAAAATACTTTATATTTTTTAACTTATGGGATGTGTTGAGTTTTGGTCGCTTCCTGAGATGTTGAGAAAAATTAGTGGTTAGGTTTTGGTTATATTTCTTTAGATTCAAATAGGGTAGCTAGGAAACTAGACCATTTGATATATATAATTTAGATAATAAAACATAAATATTAAAATGGGCACTACGTACGTATTGAGATTATATTTAATTCTGAAGCCGACAATTTATCATAAGATGTGATGCTTTAATTTCACTTTAGTCTAATTCCTTTATTAAAAAATATAAAATATTTTTTAAAGATTGAATGTTTAAAAATATAAAATATTTTTAACTTTTTAAAATGTGATTACTATGTTTTTTATAAAATATCCTTATTGATAAATTATTTTATATTTATTTTATGATGAAACACTATATTCCCTCCATTTTTATTTGTAGGAGAAAAAAAATTGAATGGCACAATTTAAAAAAATTGATTAATTATATTAATTGTGTTTGTAAATAAAAGAATTGGACTACAATATCATTCATTATTTGTATTAATCAAGTCTTCATTAATTGTCTCTTATGCCTTCATTAATTGTCTCTTATGACTATAAATGATAAAATTATGAAGAGTAATTTAAAAAGTTTGCAATAAATGCTTTTTGAAAAGTATAATTTTGCTTATAAAAATGATAGTTTCTCTTTCATATAGAAACAGAGGAAGTATTAAATATAAATAAATATAAAAAGATAAGATTGATTTAAAAATAAGTAATTACTTTATTATGGATAAGATTCTATTAAAATATTTTATATTTTTTAATAGAAAAGTTCTCATTCCATGACATGTCGAGTTTTGGTCACTTATTGAGAGGCTAGGAAATATAGTCAGGCCAAATCTCTTGAATTTTATTTCAATCATGTCTTTTCTAGATGTAAATACAGTTAAAAATCATGATTGTTTAATTTGAAAATGATCAAAATTTAAAAAAAAGGCTTAAATCACATTCTAAGATTATATATCTTAGGTAAAAATAAGATTATATATCCTAGGTCACGTTTATTTACTATAATAGAATGAAATGAAATTGATTAAAAAAATTAATCATTTAGTTCATATAGTTTTAATTCAATTGTAACTCAATCCCTGAACTTTAATTCATTGTACCTTAGTTTTTATAATTTTAATTCGGTTATAACACAGTTCTTAAACTATTTCTTTCACAATTTAGTCCACATAGTTTCAATCACTTAAATATTAATTCTAATATTTTAAAAAAATAAAATTATAAATATTAGAAATATTTTAAACTTTTAATATTTATTTAAATATTAAAAGATTAAAATTATAATATTTTACACTTTTAATATTTATAATATGTTGAACTTTTAATATTTATAATATTAGTAATAAAATTATAAAGATTAGAATTATGTTAAAATTTATTACTAATATTTTAAATTATTAAATACTAAAATTTTAATATTTATAATATCTTAAAATTTTAATACTTAGAGAGAATTACATTGAAGCCCCACATAAAGAAATTAATTACATCAAGTTCCATTGACAACTGAACTAAGAAGATTACTAATTAATTGTGTTGTCAATCTCCTTAATTAATTATCAATAGACCTTATAGTAATTAATTTTTTTGTGTGAAACTTGGATGTAATTCTCCCTAATATTTATAATATTAGTAATAAAATTATAAAGATTAGAATTATGTTAAAATTTATTACTAATATTCTAAATTATTAAACACTTTTAATATTTATAAATATTAAAACTGGTTGAAACTATAGGGATTGAATTGCAAGACATAAAGTTTAGGGACTGAATTACAATTGAGTTAAAACTATAAAGATTAAGTTAGAATGAGTTAAAGTTTAAGGATTAAATTACAATTGCGTCAAAAGTATAAGGACTAAATGATTAATTTTTTTAAAAATAAAGATAAAAATAAGATGATCAAAGAGAATAACTGAGTACAATCAAAATGGGAGAGTAATTTAATTCATGAGATTTTTAAATGATATGATAATTTTCATATTTATAATATATATTAATAAGTTTTATCATGTTTATTATGAGAGGAAGGCAATTGAGTTTATTTTTATCTTGATTTTTTTAATTCATTTTATTCTATTATATTCTAGTAAGGAAATAAAACGTTAATTCTCAAGTTATTAATTTTGACTTGAGAGGACATGCTTATATAATTACCTTTATTGTTTTATTATTTTTAAGAAGTTCAAAAAATATGTGATAAATGAGTAAATTATTATTTAAACTTTAGGTCCAATAGCATCATAGGCCTTAAACCTATTTATTATGTAAATTATTCCCTCAACTTTAAAAAATGATAAAAGTTGTTAACAAAAGTTAGCTTTCATAATTAGTTAACTATAAAATGATAAAAAAAACTAAAAAATTGTCTAAAAGGACCAAAAAAAATTTTTGGTCTTTCATTATAATTTTTTTATCTTTTTTGTAATTTTTGAAGTTTTTTTGTTTTATAATTTTCTTTTCAACTAATTGTCAAAGTTAACTTTTGTTAAGAGCAAAAGTTAGATTGTACTATTTTTAAAAGTTGAAGGAACAATTTACACAATAAATAATTTTAGAGTCTATGATACTACTTGACCTAAAATTCAAGGATAATTTGCTCATTTATCAAAAAATATATGAAGATATTTTATAAAATATAGACCTTTGTATTATTTTTTTAATAAAAGAGAGAAATTATATTAGGGTCTTGTATTTATAGTTAGGAGATACTCCCTCTGTTCAAAAATGTAAATTATTTTTTGAGGAGTTGGATGTTAAAAAATATAAGATATTTTTAGTCTTTTGAAATGTAATCATTGTCTTTTTTTTAAAAGTGCTTCTAGTGATGAATAATTTATATTTACTGTAAGGTGTTTAATAGAGGTAAATATAGAAAGGTAGGGTTAGTTTGAAAGTAAGTAATTACTTTATTAAGAGTGAGATTCGATTAAAAATATTTTATATTTTTTAACAGAGAAAGTAAGATACAGAGTATTGATGTAAATAGAAATTCAATCATTCAGTCCATCTTTATGTAGCAAAAAAAATTTATATTATAAAGGGATGATGAAATCTTTTTTTACTCTCTTAAATTTGTTTCAGTTATTAATTTAATTTTTATCAATTTAATTCTTTAAATTTGTCTTACTCATCAATTTAGTTCTCATTATTTGGAGAGAATGAAATATACTAATATTGTTAAAATTTGATAACATGAATAACAAAAAAAAATGTTTACAGTCATGTACATTTTTTAAAACATTTTTATACATGTATCATATTATAATGGTGGGTTGAATCTACTTTAGTTATATGTGAAATAAGAAAACAAATTATATTGATTAATTAATTAATTAGGATCTTTTTGCAAAAAATTAATAGCATTAATTAAAGTCTTCTTTTTCATGAATACCGGTATTAATTGTATAGTAAAGAGGCATTATATAATAAAAAATTAAAACTAATAAAAATATTTTTTTTCTACAATAAAATAAATTGATTTAAATTGGAGGATAATCTTAAGAAATAATGATAATTTTTTTATCATTTTAATGATACAAATCATTTTTAACTATTTTTTTAATCTTTACAATGTATACATAAAAAGTAGGGTAAACGGACAAAAATACTCACAAAATAGTCAGCCATAAGCACCCAATATTCTAAAGTGACGAAAAGGGTAAAAATACCCATAACGTTATATGGATGGGTGCAAAAGTAACTAAATCGTTAAATTTAACCTAACGCCGTCAACTTTGACCATTAAATGCTGACTGTGCATGCCACGTGTCAATCTTTACTGACGTAGACTAAAAAAAGAGGCAAAAATACTCAAGAAGTCATCAGTCAAAAGCAAAAATATCCATAACATTATCAGAATTGGTGCAAAAATGATCAATACATCCAATTTCTTAAATGTTGACTGTTTAATTGATGCCTAAGCAAAAATTGACTATTTTTTATTGATGTAGACAAAAAATATTTAAAGATGAATTTTTATAGATGTTGATTAATCATTATATAAATACTTATAATGTCACTTTAGTAGGTGCAATAGTGACCATTTTGTCAAAATCAATGCTATATGATTTCTTTCCATCACCACGTGTCTCGTTCCTTTCCTTTCTCCCTCTCCACTCATTTTTCTTGTCTGCAAAACATGAGATTTAACATAGTGAGATAGGTTGTTCAAAATCAAAGATCGAGACTAAGCATATCTAGCTTAAAAATATTATCATAACCTTAAGCAATTGCATTTACAATAGATTCAAAAGTTTCAAATAATGTTCTCTCTGCTGCAAAGAAACAAGTAATTTAATTTGATATTAAATCAAAATTACATTTTCTCACATGATATTCATACAATAACCCATTAACTTTTAGAAAATTTTATCTAGGAATATTTTTTGTCTACATCAGTGAAAAAATAGTCAACTTATACTTAGGTGTCAGCTAAATGGTCAACATTTAAGGGATTGAATGGATTGATCACTTTTGCACCAACTCTGATAACGTTGTGGGTATCTTTACTCCTGACCGAAAACTTTGTGAGTATTTCTGCCTCTTTTTTAGTCCACCTCAATAAAGACTGACACGTGGCATGTACAGTCAGTATTTAATAGTCAAAGTTGACGGTCTGATTACTTTCGTACTCATCCATGTATGTTATGGGTATTTTTATTTTTTTTATTACTTTAAGATATTAGGTGTCTGTAGCTAATTACTTTAAGAATATTTTTATCCCGTTACCTTAAAAAATATCATATATTTGGGCTGAATAAGTAAAGGTAACATGTTAATGTCAGGCATGAAGGAAACAAATTCATTGGAAGATAAGGGTGGCGTAATGATAGGAAATGATGTTCATAGACTTTTATTTTGCGATAAGGTAGGATGTATTTTCTGTTGCCACTTGTGAATGACGCATTGGCTTTGTTCTTAAGTCAAATCGACCGATGTAGCCTTTAATTTTTAACCGTGATTTCACTAAATTATAATTAAAGAGGTCAAATCAATATCATCTTGCTGACATGAAAACAAATCACACTAATCACATACTAGTTGCTTTATTTGTTCTTATGAATGGCCTAACCTAGCAAGAGCTAATAATAATTACTCCTTACTTTGTTTATTTGCATAAGTGTTGTTTTATTAAAAACAATTATATTTAAAATATAATTGAATATTAAATCTGAACGCTGTTTTTTATAAAGATATGACATATTTTGTTATGCTTAACACTCATTGGTCGATTACTCATAACATTGATTGCTTAGTGGATCACAATCCTGGTTTTTTTTTTTTTGTTGGGGGGTGTTTATACTGGGTGTTGTGAATTTATTTGAGGGCTCATGCACTTATAACAGCTTGGGCCTGACCGTGTTGGTTCTTTTCATATGGATTGGATGAACCTTCCTAATGGCAAAGAGAAGATTGACCCAAACGAAAAGTTTTTGTGACCGATTAGATTTTGTAGACACTTCACTTATAATCCAAATCTTAAAGATTATTTAGTTTGACGTCAACAAGTAACAACGATCAAATATTTTGATGGAAAGAAGTAATTATCTGATTTTAATGGGCTTCTAGTCTGAAATAGAAACCAAATACACAGTGATTGAGTTACTGGCACTGATAGTTTGCAAACGACATGGATTTCGGTGTCGCTGAGCACTTTTGATGAGAGCCCAAAGTTCCCAATCCATCGTCGTTTATTTCATGAATCTTTATTATTATATCTTCTTTTCAAGTTTATTAGATTAAGCTTACTTGGTTAAGTTTAAGTCTAAGTTCGTTACGACAATCGGTCCCACGGTGATGTTATAGAATGAAGGTGGGTTAGCTTTAATGAAATTGCCTCGTTATGTGTTTACTTTCTTAAGTTAACAATGGTATGAGAAAATTAAGGAGCTTAGTTAGTCGAGTGGAAGTGGATTTTTTTTTTTTTTTTGGGGTAACTTGAAGGATCATTCTTTTACCGTACGGCTTTATTTGTAATTTCTACGCAAGTTAAGGGGAAGCATTGTTTACTTTTGCTTAAATTATTCATAAGACGGGTTGTGACCGTGATTTATATTCTTTTATCCATATTTTAAAATTTTTAAATCCTTGTTACAGTTGCATGGTGTGAGAATTTTAAGTGAGAGTTGAGTTTATTGAAATATATAGACTATTAGTTATCGCGTGTAACAATAAATCACTATCAGTGAGTGTACTGATTAGGTTGTTTAGGCATTTTATTAATAAAAAAAAGATTAATTTTGTGCAATCGGTTAGAACATGTACTATGCGCATGTTTGGATAATATCTTCTTTTGAAGAAAACCAGCCAATTTTATTAACCCCAAAAAGTAGTTACATGCATGGAAAGAGAGTCTTTTCACTTTTTTTCTCTTCATTTTCTTCCACTTCCTCCATCCTCGCCATTTATTAATTTTATTATTTAAAAAAATTATTTAATAAAATAATTTGAATGGTGGGAATAGAAGAAGGGGAGGAAAATGGACGGAAAAAAATGGAGAGACCTCTCTCCCTACATGCACTAACCAAACACAAAAGACAAAATACACAAAGCTGAAAAAACAATCTCCAAAACCAGAAACAAAAATAGAAAGTACCAAAAAGAAACAAGAATCTCATTTATGCATGTTTGGATAATAGATAAATTAGTCCATTGGTTGAAAAAAAAAATCTTGTGCCTAAAAAATATAAATTAAATTTTTAAAAATTTAGGAATATGACTGATTCACATTGATGTATAAGGAATTTATCATTAATATATTAGAGTTTATCACTGAAATTTTAAAAATTTATAAAATGATTATCATTGATATACAGCAATATATTATGGATGAATATAATAAATTGATCATAATGCAAAATATTAAACTGTTTGCTTGATTTTTGGATAATATCAATAATCATTTTTAGAGAACAAAACCATAATTATATAAAAATATATATAGATATCTTTATTACATGTTGAAATTAATTATAAATTCAAAACCATTCTTTTTTTAAAAAAAATCAAAATACTCATTAAACTCATTTGATTTCCGATGGTGAAAACAAAAAATTCAGCGCTACAACTAATTGTATTAATCTAATAATATACTTATAATTAGACAACAATTAACATGAGAAACTTTTATATAGATCTCATGCACTATGTCATTCATAATCCAACCAATAAACACATGACATTCAGCTAGTATTAAATATAAATTAATTGAGACATGATATGAAAAAAAGGTAAGAAATTAAATAGGCATTTTATTATAAAAATAAAGTTATTAAAAATAATAATTTATAGAATTTTATTTGATTGAATGGATATAATTTTATTGAATGGATTAACATGGTGATGCTGGGTCTATCTAAAATTTTTTCCAACGTAGGGCAATAGATGCCATAAATAATATTGGTAACCATTACCATTCCATTTGTGTTGTAACCTCTGAAACTGCACATGGTACTGCAACTCTGGCTCTCTCCATTCTCCCATGGATCCCTCTCGCCATGAAATCATGTTCATGATTTCAAGCTTCGTCTTCGTTAACTTCTTCACCCGGGGTAACCAATGAAGATCCCACATTTTCACTTCTCTTACTTCAAATCGTTTAAGTGGACTTCGTTCATGTTTCTTCTTTCGGGGTCTTTCTGATTCAGGAATCACCATTGCCGGCGAACACCAACTTGTACGTGAAAAGTAAAGACAACCCATTTGCAGAGGCCATCTCTGATCCGCTCTACAAGCTTCATCTCCGAGAAACCTTGGAGTTCGTGAAGTCGTTTCCTATGTCACACAAAAACGTCCTCGACGTTTCTTCTCAGAGAAGAACAAGAGTAGAAGGTCCTTCAACCCCAGGAAGACCCATCCTTAGCTTCAGAAAGAGCAATGTTTCTTCGAAATGGGAAGACGCAGAGAAATGGGTCATGGGCAGCGATGGCTCCCCTGGTTGCACAACAAAGGCATTAGCAATATCATCATCATCTTCAGCGTCCTCCAATATCAGAACATCATGTGACAACGTCTTCAAGGTACGCAACACTGCCGAGGATTTCTCGGAGAAACCGAGGGCCACACAGCAAAAGGTGTACAGAACTGTCCCAAGATTTCAAATTTCTCCTGCAACTTTGGACCACCATGAGGTCCCTTCCCCAACAGACATAGTGCTAAAAGGTAGGATCCCCTGTTTCCTTGCTTTCATTGCAAAGGTTTTGATCTTGGATTCGTTGAATTACCATTAAGACTTCAACTTTGCAATATCTGGTTGCTGAGATAGAAGGTACAAAGAGTCAAATGTTGTCTTCAACTCGGTGAGAGAGGCTTGTTTATTTCAGAGTATTTTATCCTCATTTGGACTCATTTCCTCTACGAGTTCATTGGAAATTGAAAAGGGTGACTGAGTTGATTTGAAAATTCATGTCATGTTTCATGCAAATGTATGTAATGCAGACAAGTTTACAGACAAGAAAGGGTCAGGTTTTCCTAATTTCAGAGACATTGGGACAGAGACGACTCCTGTAGGAAGCTCCACAACTTCAAGGTGTGACAGACCATTCAAGAGCTCATCTCCTGCTCGCCATAACACTCCTGCAAGTAGGGCTAGTCCAATGGCTTCTCAAAACCCTAATTGCAGTAGCAACATTAGCAGTTGTACTAGTGGCCTTATTCAGCTACAGGACTGTCATGTTGCCAAGCTGCAACTGGGAACAAAGTTCGATACCACTGTGTCGAATTGGAGCTCAAGGGAAGAGGAAGAGGAAGAAGCTTCAAAGAGCTTGAGACATCATGCTAACCAAACCCAGAAAGCTCGTTCAGATTCCATAACTGCCGCTTGGGAAGAAGAGGAAAAGACAAAATCTTGTCTCAGGTGATTAAACCTTGAAGCCTTGGCATTCAAACCATGCCAAGATTATAAGCGAATTGTAACTTAGTTAAGATGTTAATTAATTAATTAAAGTTAAACGATAAATTTACCCTAAGGTCTCAGCTATAGGTCCAAGACCTTCCAAGATCTTAAACTCATTTTTATTATAATGTTTCCTCTCAACATTTAAAAGGGTGGAATAAGACTATTATAATTAATAAATGTTAACTTTAACTATTAGTTGATTAAAAAATTATAAAAAAATATTATAAAATTTTTTTCAGTTATCTTCTATAATTTTTGGGCCTTATTTATAATTTTATTAGTCATTTTATATCTTTTTTTTTTCAGGCCAACTAACGAATAAAATTAAATTTTATTAATAGTAAGAACAACATTATACTGTTTTTAGAGGTTGAAAGGGAGTAACATTACACTTAAAATAAATTTAGGTTTTCAAAGACTTAAAATTTAAGAATGAAATTGCCCATTAACACATTAGTTAAAAAACCACATTAGTGAAATACTAACACAGTGCTATATGCTATGTAAAGCCAAGTAAACGTATCATATATAGGACCAAGGTGTCAAATTGACCTTTTTTAAAGATCTTTGCTTTTTAGTTTTGTGTGATTTGTATGGTGAGGACTTGATTGCGAAGTGAAGGTGCAGGTATCAGATTGAAGAAACGAGGATACGAGCTTGGGTAAACCTCCAAAGTGCTAAAGCAGAAGCTCAATCAAAGAAGCTTGAGGTTTATATACCCTTTATTCTCTTCATTTCTTTTCCCAATAATCCCTTAACAAGTTCAAGAACACAAGCGATTGAAACTGAGGAATGATAGAAATGTCGTGGTGGTGGCAGGTGAAAATACAGAAGATGAGATGGAAGCAGGAAGAGAAACTGATGAAGAGAATGGATGTGGTGAAGAGGAGAGCAGAAGAATGGAGAGAGGCAGCAAGAGAGCAGCACACGATGGAGAAGGCAAATGAAGAATCTCAAAACATATTGAAGAATCCATTTTCAAGTCGTCCTACTTCATGTGGTTGTCTTCCATACACTAGTATGATGCAATCAAAGTGTGGCGCAAATCATACTTAAATATATCCCCGTAAGGCTGTTCAGTAATAAAATTCATATCTCTCTTTTGTTAATAATTGCGATAAGAAACATTTTTGTCTCGAGACTATTTCCTCAAAAACATTTGGTATTTTAAACTTTTATGTAATATAATTTTTTTATTTAACTTTTGAAAATTGAGCATTGGATAATTTGTTGTTAAAAAAGTTAACTTTAATCATCAGACCCAAACAATTCTACAAAAGGATCTCTTAAATTACAAAAAGTACCCATGAAATTATAAATAAATACCATATAAAAAAATTAATATCGATTAAGTCCCTTTTTCATGTCAAAGGTAACTTTTTTAATGATAGAATATCCAATACATCATTTTCAAAAGTTAAAAAAAATTGCACCACATGAAAATTTAAGATACTAAACACTTTTAAGTGAATAGTTAAAGGATAAAAATGTCTTTTAATCCTTTATTTAAAATAGAATCTATTACAAGTTATCCCTACCTAGTAATTCGATCTATTCTAAGTTTAGTACATCAACTTGTCTTGATTATAGGACAAAATTTTAAAGTTTTACCTAATCTTAAATAGATACTCCCTTCATTTAAAAATATAAGATATGTTTAAAAGGTTGGATATTAAAAAATATAAAATATTTTTAACATTTCAAGATATGATTAATATATTTTTTTAAAATATGTCCTTAAAAAATAAATAAATTTATATTTGTTTTTAAATAAAATATTTTATTAAATAGAGATATATAAAGATAATGTTAATTGAAAAATAATTAATTCATTTGTTGGCAGTGAAATCAGGTTAAAAATCTCGAGAAAGCAAAGGGGCCTTTCATGTCTGGGACGTTGGCAGGATATGGAAGACTACAAGTCTATTCGCATCGTATCAGAAAGACGCATGGGAGAGTTACGTGAAAGTGGATGCACGTAAAGTGTTTAGCAGTTCAAATGGCATCCGGCCTTTTCAGACACCAGATCAGACACATGCGAGTTTGCGGATGACGCAGACAATACAGAAACAGAATCCCAGAGAGAACAAAAGCGAAGCTCTAAGTTTAACTGCTTTTGGCTCTTCAGAATCTTTCTGTTTGATGTTGCAGAGGACCAGACCTGATTCTATGTCGTGTGTCCAATCTTACACTCATTTATTCCACTTTCAATCTCATCACTGCACGCCTTTCCAAATGCATGCTCAAATTAACTACACGTCCCGAGTTTTGTCTCAGAGAACCGAGTACATGTCCTCGTCAAACTGAATTCTGAAATATACTCATTAACATCCACCTTCTGTTTTAAACTTTGATCCAACTCTCTCTCAAATTTATTTTCTTACGAGCATAATTGTGAAGCTGTCAAATTGATTTTAGGTGTTTAATATTTTTATATTTTTAATTTATAAAATTATGTTAATTCATTCATAAATTCAAACTAAATATAAATTTTGTTAAACTCCTAAATTTACTTTTGAATTTATCGTTTTTACATTTTTAATTTATAAAATTGTGTTAAATAATTTATAAACTCGGATCAAATATAAGTTTGATTAAACTTGTTAAACTTGTCAATTTTTTTTAAGTTGAATAAGTTAAGTATATACTATAAATAATTTAGTTTATAAAAGTTATAAAATATGGTTCAAAGGAAAAAAAAATCTTGAAATATAAAAACTAATGTTAATAAAAAAGAAAATAAAATACCAAAAATAAGTTTCTCTATTTTAAAATTTTTATGTCTTGTATATGATAATTTATCAATGTAGATAAGTTTAATTTCAATGATTATATTTTTAATATATTTAAATTAAATTATAATCATATTTTAACAGTTATTTGTTAATAGAGATAAACTTTTATAAGTTTACGATTTGAGTTTATGATACGAGTTTATATTCCTATCATAAGTTTACTTAAAGTAATGAGTTTAATAACCTTTCTTGGGAGGGAGTGATCACATAATTGGTTTTTTTTTTTGTTTATTATTATTATTATTATTATTATTATTATTATTATTATTATATAATTCGGATATAAAACATGGTGTAAATGCTATTAGCCTTCAAAAACATGTATTTTCTTTTCATAAAACGTTTAATTTAATTTATATTCTTAAAGCATTTTTTCTGAATTATTTATTTAAATATTTTAATTAGCTTTTATGTGTTTACTAAGCATTGTGAAAATCAGTGTAAAAATGTTAAAAAAAATAAATGTTACATAATTCTTAGCTTACTGTGTTATGAACAGAAAAGTTATCACTGATTCAGTTTTAAAGCAAACAGGAATCATTCTAATTAGCGAGAACATAAAAAAAAGACGAATTTAATACCAGATAAAGATTTTTAAAAAGTATATAAATATTAACAAATTAATACTAAGTAAGGATATTATTTTAACAAATATTCAATTTGTCTAGATCTTTGTTAAATATTAAGTTCTTTCAAAGTTCTTTTTTGGTCGATATCGTCCTTTCTAATTAAAATGGTGCCACCATTCGTAAAATATGAGGAGTTTTAATTTTTCACGCCTCCATGCTAATTTTTTCAAGCATAGCTCCTTTTACATTTCTCTCACACAATTTAATTGTAGGCTATTAGCATATTATTTGATATTTTATTTATTCACTATTAACCTACTAAATAAACTAAAAGATATTGTTAGTTTATTAAAAAATTTTATTTTTATTGTTAAAAAATATAAGTCATTTTTAATTAAATCTCAACGCCCAATAAATTATTTATATATCTTTAAATTAATGCCATTTTTATATTTTTTTATTTAATAGGTATTTTCAAGATTTTAAAAACCACACAAGGGATTGATTTAAGGGTTAATAGTTCAATCATGGTTCAACAGATTTTGATTAATTTAATGCATTTTAAATTTTATACACAGAAAAATCATAAGATAAATTCATCTATAATCAACAAAATTAATATTTAAATAAAAATATTTATATAAAGATAAGAAAATTATAAGTTGTTTATAATTTTTTATTTAAAATAATAGTATTTTAGTATACTTCATTTCATCTTCCTATTTTTTTATAAGCATAAATAATATTAATATGAATCTATAAATAGATGTTTTTATCTTTCCTCTCATCTCAAATTGCTTCCCGCCTTCTACTCTATTCTTTAATAATTTTTTTGATTCTATTTATAAATCACTTTGAACATGTTTTATAGAACTAAAAAAAATATTAAATCTCATTAACTTTATCTTAAAATTTAATAAATTTTTGCCTTCATCCCTAACAAATATTTTTAAATTTTATTATTGATATTTTTATTCAAAACATTTAATAAGGGTAAAAAAAAGAGTATTAAAAATTGATAAATACGTTAGAAATAGGATTAAATTTTTTATTTTTTTTCTGTTATATAAATAGGATCAGAGAAGTATATTAATATTTAATAATATTAAAATGGAGCCATTCACATGGAAAGAGGAAAGAAATCTTACGGCAGAAAAATGAAGCAAATTGATCCGTTGGACTAACACACACATTCTTTCTATTAGATGACACATTCGTCTTTGTTTTTCCTTCCTTACTCTTTGCTGCGGACTGCCGAGTTGTGGAACTGCAGCTTCATTTTTACCCTGTCTAATGGCTTGATCATAAATCCTGTAGTTTTGTGAAACAAATCTAAGGTGAACTTTTGCTGCAAAATGTATTCTTATTTGTTTTTTTTTTTTGTAAATCTCTTTCATCCTTCAGATTTTCATCTTTTCTCTCACACATCTCAACCCTTCCTTGCGTTCCGTTATCTTTTTCTAGATACCATCTCTTGATCAGCCAAACCTATCAACTGTTTGGTTTTCACTGTTTTTTCAATTCGTTAACTGGTTTGATTATCTTTCAGTTTTTCTATCTCACACGAACCAGACTGATGATCGGATATTGGTTGAATTGGCCAGTGTGGTCTAATTGTTAAAATCTTAGATATTTCACTTAAAAATAAATATAAAATTATTTATTTATTATTGACATTTTTTTAAAAAAAACACACATCAACTATATTTTAAAATATTAAACATATCTCATATTTTTAAACATTAACTCCATAACAGGAGCATTATTTTCTTTTAATTCGGACTCACTCTCCAAGCTCGACCCCTGACCACTAATAAAAAGTTAAGAGATTTGAGCTTCTAATTACTCATTAAAATATAAAGGCCGATTTTGTCACAAAAGCCATACTAGAACAACCTTTTCATTTTCTTTAAAATTCTAGTTTCATTAACTCAACTGTTAATTTGTCATTAACTCACCAAATTTAATATTTTTAACTAAAATGTTCTTCCATAACATATATATATATATATATATTTCATGACACTTTCATCACATTTTAAGTTTTTAAATTTCAATTTCATTTCCTTATTTTATTATACAATTCATTTTAAACTCTATTTTTAAAACATTTATACAAATATTATCATACTTATTTACAAATTGTTTAATTTAGGGGTAGAAAAGAGAAAAATTAGACAAATAAATGGTAAGGGTAGATTAGCAATTTTAAATTTTTAAGAGTTAAAATAAAGTTTAAGTTCTGAAAATAAAAGATTTTTTTTTTCAATTTTCACAAAATTGAAAGTCTATGTAATTTACATATCTTGGAATTCAAAACATACAAACACCTATAAAATTAGAGAGATGGAAAAAATTAGAGATCGGAAAAAAATAAAAAAGAATCCGATAAACAATGAATTCAAACACACTCATAGTCCCTGAGCGTGCGTGAGGTTATCATTTTTTTTTTTTCATTTCAGTCATAATTTGAGTTCAAAAGTTTTCAAATTCCCAATTTTATGCAATCCCTCTGCTCAGATTTTGCTTGTATGCTTGCAGATACAACAGCAACTAGCAAGGAATCCCAATGGCATTGAAGCTGCAAAAGTAATTCTCAAGTGTTCGATAGGTAATGATTTATTGAAGTGGGCATGCTAATCCCCACCACTATCTGCAACATCTGTTTCAGTTGTTCAAGTGCGCCCAAGATTGTTTGGAGGCTGTATAGCTCACCCAAACGTATTCGTTTTTTCTTTCTTGGCTTCCATGGCTCCCGACACAAGGAACCAGGAAGCAATGGGTTAAATGCCACCCAACACAAGCAGTTTTCCCCCCTTTCTGTTGAATTATTACTGATTGCCAAAGAAAGATACAAATGCTATCGCATCTAGAAACTCAAAGTCTAGTACTGTCAAAAGTTGATTGGCTATCCTTATTGTGATGGAAGAAACTCAACCAGGAATCCTCAGTCGCGAAACTCATCCATGAATTGTTTGTGGAACTCTGTCAAGCCGGTGACAATCGCTGGAATCTTCTCTTCTTGAGGCAGAATTGTGCACCTGAAGTGCCAGGTCCCAGGAACCTTACATGACAACGTCACAATCCAAAATTAAGCTGATAATTCCCAGAGAAAGAAAACTTTGGTGTTCTTTTGAAGTGTATGCTATATCAACTCAAGAAGTAAAATTATGAGGTGGATCAAATATTTTTAGATGAGTCAATAATATGATGTTGAGTAGCAAGACATATCCACGTTATGTTTTCGGAAACTTGTAGATGTGTCTTTTCAAATTTGAGCCATTTACAATCTGCAGGTTCCTTTTCAACTTCCAAAATCAGAAATTATCCCTATAAACTTCGGCGATTTAACATTTAAAACCTATCCACAAGCATCACGACCCCATCAAATTAGAAGTAAACAAGGGCAACTATAATGCTCGAAAAACTTTGTGCCAAATTGAAATGTGCAACTCTAAATTCTAAAATTCCCTAATGCTATAAGGGATGAAAGTTAAGGGGTAATTTTTAATTTTTAAAGATGAGGGAGGCTGTTCACAAAGCCTAGTCAATCGCGAGATGAATGGAAAAGCAAATTGGTTATAACAAACGACAGTTTTATTGATCAGTAGAATATAAATCCAATGCAGGAAGAGACAGGTTTTGTTTTACTGTGATAAATCAATAAAAACTAACCTGTCCAAAACCAGAACCAGGGACAACAACAACTCCGGTGGCATTAAGGAGGCGCTGACAGTAGAAAGCATCAGGAGCTTTTTTAGCAGCCTCTGCAGCTTTGATTGCCTTTTCAGGGAGGCAAATACGGGGAAATAGATACATTGCCCCTTCTGCTTTGTTGCATGTCACACCCTCTAGATTGTTAAATGCTTCTTCCAGTGTCTGAGTCGACAATATAAATCCAAAAGATTAACAAACAAAAATAAATATTTAAACAAGGGAAAAG